GAAAGCATATAAAAAAAAAAAAAAAAAAATAGTAACTCTACCAAACTTGTAAATACATACATATGAAAAAAAAATCAAGGTATTAAAGAAATCCATGTACTTAATATTACTACAAACTCGTTAAATTTCATGCAAAAATAGTAAAGAAAAATGCCTAAATAAACTAAAACAAAGCAAATTCCAAATAAAAGCAAAATTACAGACAAACTCAGAAGCAAGCAAAAGAAAATTCTCTCCCGGTAGAAGAAACTTTAGACTATATATAACAAATGTTTATTTATTTATTTATTCGTCTATGAAACGGTGGTTTCATACAGACTAGTTACAAAATTAATATATGCAGGACACTAAAACTATTGATTAAACTAGATACAAGAATCAAAAGGAAGAATACAAAAGATTAATAAATTAATTTCTTGGGTAAGAGAAATCAAGTGAGATAGAATTCGATTTCAAATTAAACTCATTTAAGGTACGTACCAAGGGGGCGTTTCGCGCGTATTCAGTTAAGTGGATTTCACAATAGAACTGCAAAAAGTGACGCAAGACTCGCTGAGGGATGTTGAAATTTATGCGACCTAAGAGAAAAGGACAATCAACACTACCATTAATAATATTAAAATCAAAAGTCAGGGAGATACAGAACGCCTCGTTTCCAATGACTTAAGGTTAGGCGAAAGCAAACGACTACTGTACGGTGGCATAGGATACGAAAAGTTTAAGGACCGCAATGCGAACTTAAGAAACACCTTTTGGACACGTTCTAATCTATTTATGAAAGTTTTGTGGAATGGCCTCCAAATAAATGTAGCATATTCCAAAATGGGACGAACAAAAGATGAGTGTAGTAATTTAATAGTATAGGGATCAGAGAATTGTACACAGTTCCGCCTCACGAAACCAAAAACAGAGAAGGATTTAGAAATCACAATATTAAAATGCCTAGTAAAAGAAAAATTTGAAGTAAAAATGACGCCAAGATCTTTGGCCTCGGCGACAGATTCTAGCAAAGACTCCGCGATTGTATAACTCGTTGATAAAGCACTATGAATTTTTGCAAAAGTTACTTTAAAGCACTTTTTAATATTTAAAGAAAGGCGTGCTTTTATGCACCAAAGATTAAGATTATTAATATCGGCGTGAAGTAAAGTAGCATCCCTTTCATTTCTTATCACCGAAAAACCAAAAGTAGCAAAATAAAACAAGTAAGAAAGTCTAAGTTCGGGCGGAGCCGAACATTAAATACCCGGCGCAGGTACCGCTACATGGTAAGCCGCTGTGTATAAATTTTTAATAAATTAGCGTCCTTAAATTTCGAAATATTGAAGTTTCAAGCATTTCTGAAATTTGCCGTTATATGAAAAGTGGTCGTAATTTGAATCTGATTCCAATAATTTTCAACGTTTTGCTTCCATGGGGCAAGCACAATAATCATACCGAGTTTGGTACAAATTGGTAGAACGGTTACCGAGATACATATATGTGATCATAAGTGGGCGGTGCCACACCCATTTTCCAAAATTTTATCATAAACGTATTTCTTGGTAAAGAATTGTTGCAAGCATCAATTTTGAGTAAATTAGCTTTAATATTTATTGATTTATCGAAGATTTCGTATTTCTCCAAATTACCGTTATATGGGAGGTAGGCGTGGTTATTGTCCGATTTTAAATTTGGTATGCTGTAGCAAGGCTAACAACTGTGCCAAGTTTGGAAGAAATTTGTGCAGCGGTTACCAAGATATACACATGTATCCATAAGTGGGCGTGGCTACGCCCATTTTCCAAAAATGTATAATATTCTTATTTTTCGTCTAAAAATTATTGTAAATATCAATTTTGAGTGAATACTCTTCAGTAGTTACTAAAATATCGCAGTTTTTGTATTTCGGAAAATTACCGTTATATGGGAGGTAGGCGTGGTTATTGTCCGATTTTGTCCCATTTTCAATACCATCCGTCCTACGCCCGAAAGAAGTGCACGTACCAAGTTTCGTTAGGATATCTCAATTTTTACTCGCGTTATCGTGTGCACAGACGGACGGACGGACGGACGGACAGACAGTCACCGCTTAATCGATTTCTCTTTTCATTTTGATCATTTATGTATACATTTGTCTATATCTATCTCGATTCGTTTTGCCTGTTACAAACAACCGTTATGTGAACAAAGTTATAATACCCTTGTGCACAAGTGCGTTCGGGTATAAAAACCAAAGAAAAGCAAACGAGAGCCCGCGAGCGCAGCGCGATCTATGCCAAAAGCATTTGGAAGCTCTCGTTTGGTGTTTTCCAACGGTCCTCAGTTGCGGGTCACTATGTATATCTGCGTGAGTGTATCTCCCTTCCCGTCTCTCTTATGTATGTCGCCTTCCTTGTATTTCCCCTTTGTACATATGTGCGTTCTTGACTCCTCTCTCTTTACTTATTGCATCGTCTTTTTGTAAAAAAATGTACAACAGTATTATGTACTCCGGTCGTTGACCTAGTTTTCGCTTCCGTACATAGCTGCTGGCGATTCGCGTTCCCGCTCGGGAAATGCTTACGTCTTCGTGGTAGTAGATCATCTGTCAAAATTTGTCCTTTTTAAGACTGTGCGGCACGCCACAGCGCAGGAGGTGACGAAATATCTGGAAAGGGATATATTCCACGTTTTCGGTGTTCCGGAAGTCATTCACTCTGACAACGGCCGACAATTTACGTCCGAATACTTTGCAAAGTTTTTACAAGAGTATGGTGTTAAACATGTCAAGACCTCGCCTTACGTTTCGCAGGCCAATGCATCGGTGCGGGTGAACCGATCCCTGCTTACCATAATTCGAACGTATTTGACTGGGGGAGATCATCGTAATTGTACGTCTCTGAAGCGGCTTTCGCGCTGCGTAGCGCAATTCACGAAGCGATTGATATGGAACCATATAAAGCCGTATTTGGGCAGACCATGATCCAATATGGGAATGCGTACGATATACTCCGAAGAGTAGGCTCACTGGGTGAAACCCAAGCAGAGATTTTATCTATGCCAGATCGACTTGCGTTAATAAGGGACAAGCTGATAAAGGGACTAGGCGAGCCGCATAGGAAGGGACAGCGAGCGTACAACACCAGATCTCGTCCAATTGAACATCGAGAGTGACAGATTGTGTATCGGAGGAACTTTAAATTGAGCAATGCTGTCGACGGATACAACGCGAAGCTGGCAGTCAAGTACCTGAAATCCGTTGTTCTCGCTAGGAAGGGAAATTGCTTATATGGGATAGGTGACCTGGGGGGGGGGGGGGCGCTCTCTCTGCATTTATCAAGCGAAAGATCTCCGCAAATTTGGTGTCCGACATGTAAAAGAATGCATTAATTTCCAAAAAAAAAAATGTGTACTTGGATTAATTCCCCTTCTTAGTTTGAACACTATACTTATTTCGTCTGTACAGTCTAAAGTCCTCCGATTGATTACTGGACGCCCGTGTTACGTTAGAAATGCTAACTTCCAGAAGGATCTACTCATGCCAATAGTTATGGGTGAAGTGAAAAGACTAAGTAAAATACTATCAGGTCTCTTTTTATGCGTTGTTTTTTAAGCGGATTTGAATTTATGCGGGTTTTAAAACCATTTTTTTGCTGTAGCGATTTTGCTTCTTAGAGAGGTTTTATTAGTTTCATCAGTGTGTAAGAGACAATGCTTCTGATAAATAATTTGTCTTTGTAAATATTCTTACATAATTCATGTATTTATTGTGGCAGAACAAAAGTTTTACATGGAATAACAAGTGTAGAAGAGAAGAAATAAATTGTTTTTTTTGTTGCTTAATATTGACTCACTGGATTTTTATGCTGTTTTTTATTTTTTATTTTTTACATGGAGTATCTGAATTTATGCGGTTTTTGAAAATTCTGGAACGCATCCCCTGTTTTTGTATGAAAGTAAATAACATTTTTATGCAGCTTTCTGAGGAATGCAAGTACCGCATAAAACAAGGCCTAAGGGTATCTCCGGAAACTCCAGGAGAACCCTAACGAACTAGCTCAAAACCTACTACTCCACAGAGGTTATACCCGACTGAAAAAGAAGTCCATAAGAGACAATTTTGCCGCGGCCATACACTGAGAAAAAAAAACGCGTTGTAAAAATAAAAAAAGTTTATTTGATTACCGTTTAAAAATGTTCGTTTTTAAATCAAGTGAAAAGTCTTAACAAAATGAATTTTTTCATTATACATACACTACGTATAATGGAAATATTCAAATTAATTAATTAATTTTCACTGCACGAAAGCATATATGTATACAAAGCATGCAAAGCGGTGACAACACATACATACATACATATGTACATACATGGTACGACATCATGCACTAATCGCGCGCTGTGATGTTGATTCAAACTCAACATTTGAAAACACATTTACATGTATGGCTGTAGCTGAGTGTGCAACGACGCTTGATACAATTGGTTGCTGCCAAGAGCGGCTGGGTATAATTACCATCAGACGGAACATAAAATTCAATTTTTTTCTTCTTAATTTTTATTTCGTATAACGAAAAAGCATCTGTGCACTTCGCAACGACATATTTTATAACGTACATACTCAAATTTAAAACGAGTTGGGTTGGTGCTCTTTCATATGCGTATTTTTATAAATTTAGCACGTTTTTTTTTTAATTCTAAAATTTTTTTCCCTCAGTGTACTAGCACGAGCGATATATTTCACCAATTGTAATTTTGCACTCAATATATTTAATTTGAAAAAATAAACGATTTCCAAGCAGTGGCAAAGAAAATCACAAACTTTTAGTTTTTAGAATTTTCATAATTATTGTTAGATTCGCAATTTGTAATGAAAAAATTCTTGATGTAAGGCGAATAAAAAAAATCAAATCAGCTGTTCAATTAACACCACCTGGTATGAAATCGCTTTGATTAGCAATAGCAAATATAGCAATTTGTTTGGAAGTCACCCGTATAAATGCATATTTCAATCTCTAATAGCTATTATATTTTTCTAGATACGGACGCTTGCTATCATCGAAGTACGGGGATGGCATTTCGTCGCCGTCTCGATCAATAACAGGCGAAGAGTTGCCGAATGCAAGACTTATTTCACTAGTCGTTTTTGGGGAACTGGATGTTCCGGATCCACAATTTACATTAGTCAACATGCAGTGGGGTCAAATATTAACACATGACATGAGCATGCAGGCTGGTGGAACCCAAGCCAGTAAGTATTGAGCCTATTAAGAATGTTATCATAAATAGTTCGTTGCTTCAAACTATTCGTTTTACAATCAATAAGGGAAACATCCAACACGTTGCTGTACTGATGACGGTCGCCTTATTGCCACGAATGAAGCACATTCAACATGTTATCCTATTGTGATACCACCTAACGATCCCGCCTACTCCCAAGTGGGTACAGAATGCCTAGACTTTGTGCGAACTCTAACAGACCGTGACATTAATTGTTTATATAATAATGGTCCAGCAGAGCAATTGAGTGCTGTATCATCTTATGCCGATCTCTCACTTGTTTACGGAAATTCTATACAGCAAAATAGTGAGATACGGTCTTTTGAGGGCGGCCGAATGTTAGTGGATCAACGAAGTGGGGGTGAATACCTTCCCCCATCCCGAAATGCCACTGGTGATTGCGATGCCGCCCCGGCCGGTGAGGTGTGCTATCAAGCTGGTGACATTCGGGTAAATCAGAATCCCGGATTAGCCATTTTACATACCATTTTACTGCGAGAGCACAATCGCATCGCTGATACTTTGGCTAAACTGAATCCGCATTACAACGATCGGACACTATTTCAGGAGGCACGTAAAATAAATATTGCACAATATCAACATATAAGCTACTATGAGTGGTTACCTATATTCCTTGGATTGGAAAATATGCTAAAGAACCGACTAATTTACAAAAGCGCATCTAACAATTTCATCAATGATTTCGTTAGCTCTATTGATCCGTCCGTTTTGAATGAACATGCAACAGCAGCATTTAGATATTTTCACTCTCAAATCGAGGGGAGATTAGAGTAAGTACATATAGCTATGTTCATTGTAATTGCAGCGCCAACCTGCATCACATTGTTGCAGTGGCGTAACTATATCAAATGAGGGGGGAAATTCGGTAGAGTTTAAAAAACATTAAAATTTTTTGGTTTACAGGGACGAATAAGTATTGAAAATGCGCTTTTAATAACTTTACTCATTTTTAGTTAATATAGTTTGCAGGACGAATTTAGATGATGAGGTCGTGCGTATATTAGTCCTAAAACAAAAAAAAATATATTGAAAATTTTCAAGGCTATTTCTTCTTCTTCTTCTTTTTTGGCGCTGTAACCGCCTAAGCGATTTTGGCCGAGTTCAGCAAAGCACGCCAGTCGTTTCTCCTCTGTGCCAACTGACGCCAATTGGAAACGCCAAGTGAAGCCAAGTCCTTCTCCACCTGATCTTTCCATCGCAGTGGGGGCCTCCCTCTTCCTCTGCTACCACCAGCGGGTTCCGAGTTGAATACTTTCAGAGCTGGAGCGTCGGTGTCCATTCGAACGACATGACCAAGCCAGCGGAGCCGCTGTATTTTAATTCGCTGCACTATGTCCATATCGTTGTAAAGCTCATATAGCTCATCGTTCCATCGTCTGCGGTACTCGCCGTCGCCAACGCGCAAAGGACCGTAAATCTTCCGCAAAATCTTTCTCTCAAACACCCCAAGAGCCGCCTCATCGGATGTTGTCATTGTCCATGCTTCTGCGCCATATACCAGCACGGGCATGATGAGTGACTTATAGAGCGTGGTTTTCGTACGTCGAGAGAGGACTTTACTCTTGAATTGCCTACTCAGTCCGAAGTAGCACTTGTTGGCAAGAGTGATTCTACGTTGGATTTCAATGCTGACATTATTATCGGTGTTAATGCTGGTTCCCAAGTAAACGAAATTCTCTACTTTCTCGAAATTGTAACTGTCAACAGTGACATGGGTGCCAAGGCGCGAATCTGCTGACTGTTTGTTTGATGACAGGAGATACTTCGTCTTGTCCTCGTTTACCACCAGACCCATGCGCTTTGCTTCCCTATCCAACTTGGAAAAGGCAGAACAGACTTCGCGGTTTTTGTTACCGATGATGTCGATGTCATCGGCATAAGCCAGCAATTACACGCTCTTGTAGTAAATTTTTTCTGAGCGGTTCAGTTCTGCAGCCCTTATTATCTTCTCCAACATCAGATTAAAGAAGGCTATTTAGGACAACATTTTTAAAGGACACTTTCTATACCCATTCGTACCCATGCATAAAAAATGTATTCTGTCATAATTCTACAGAATTTTTTCTTTTATATGATACCCTTATTGTTATCCTACATTGCACAGTGGTTCAGCTTTTATGGAGCAACGGTCAAAACTCGTTTTCTCGGAAACTAAATGACATTTCGCAGTAAAATTCTACACTTGTTACCCTTTGCCTAGGCTAGGTTGGTATTGAAAATGGGTAAAGTCGGATCAAATCTGCACTTGCCTTCCATATAACGGTATTTTTGAAATGAAAACTGCGACATTTAAGTAACTACTGCTGCCAAATTAATAAAAATTTATATATGGGGCGTTCCATACTAAAACAATTCATGTGTTTGGTTTGTTTAAATTTTTTTTAGGATTGATGCACAAACATAAATAATAAATAAATATGAAATTGGAGCTTGATTAAAGCCCTTTTAAAAACTTTACAAATCGTCTTAATAGTTTCCCATATATCTTGAGAACGGGGCGAGATAAATATTTGAAAAAAAAATCACACATACACACACCAAAATTCTTTATCAAAATAAATATTTTTAAAATTTATTTTTCTTGGAAAATTTTTCACATACAAATTTTTTGATTAAAAATTAGTGTTTGAAAATATGCCATCACAAAAAAAAGGCACAATGATAGCTCTGAGTATTGCGAAATATTTAAGTACAGTATTATGTATTACTCTGCAATAATTTGAGTTATGCATTTTTTTACACTTAAGTTGAGTAAAATGAGTACATCACAAATTTACAAATTATTAAATTAAATTAAAAATATTAAATTTTAGTATACTTAAGTGCAAATTTTAAGCGATTGCAAAATGGTCGTTAATTTTTTTAAATTGTCTTTCAAAACGGGTTTGCGCATTTTCTTCCATAAGAAAAAAGTCCAAAAAGCCGCCAGCATAAAAAATATTTAAAATTAACGCAATAGCTTAAAAACCTCGTTGTACTAAAATTTAATGCGCTACAACAATGCATACTCAAAAAAATTACAAAAAAAAATTTAAAAATTTGTAAGTTTGTAGTATACTCATTTTATTCAACTTCGGTGTAAAAAAAATGCACAGCCCATAGTATTGTAGAGTGCACCCCATAATACTATATTTAAATATTGCGCAATGCTAATTATAACTTTTTTCACTTTTTTTAGGCATATTTTCAAAAACTATTTTTTTAACAAAAAATTTGTATGTAAAAAATTTTTTTATATATATTTTCATAGAGATTTATAATGTGTGTATGTGTGATTTTTTTTTCAATTTTTTTCCTCACCTCGTTCTCGAGATATTTGGAAAACTATTAAATCTATTTGTTTTGGTTTTATGCTGTGAAGTTTTTAAAAACGTATTAATCAAGCTCAAATTTCATATTTATTTATTATTTATGTTTGTGCATCAACCCTAAAAATTTGAAACAAATCAAACACATAAAGTGTGAGCCCCGTCCGTTTTGGTATAGAACGCCCCATATAGAGTGAACTATAAACACAAATTTTGGTATTTAATAAGTTTTTTTAAATGGTCGTGGTCAAATCCACTTATCATGAATTATGTACGCGCCTAACCGATTTCTTCCAAACCTAGTACATTCATTACTGTTAACCACATTCAAAAATTCTTTGCAACTTTTTGACAACGGACAATTTTCACGCTGACCTCCCATGTATTGGTATTCTCGAAAGATACAAATTCTACGATATTTTACTATATAATAACGCTAAATTTCTCAGGTTTATATTTATAAAAATTTATGAGCCGAAAACTTGATTTTTATAAAATAAATAGAGGTTGTTCACACTTGCCTGGTTATCAGGATATCTGATTATGTGGCAGTGATGATAAAGTTGCCACAATTGTGCTTTTTTCGTACAATTTAAAACCAGAAAGCACATTGACACCACATAGTAGTGGTGGCAAACTATCGATAGTGAAGACTATCGATAGTTGATGATACTTTTTTCGGTCACTATCGATTGTGCCGATAGTCATTTTTTTCGATAGTGCGCTGCCATTGATAGTCTCGATAGTGTGAACGATTTTTTTTAATTTGAGTGTAACAAAATGGCATGTAAATTTTACGTTTGAAGGTAATATTAACTAATTTCTTTAAATAAAAATAATATAATAAATTGCAGGTTTCAAGTTGCTAAAGAATCTCGTTGATTTTTGAAAATTTTTTTGCTAACAGTGTCACGCGTTTCCTTCCACTTAAAAAACGAATGAAACGAAGAAAACGCGTGACACTGTTTATTATACTAAAATCTAATGGACTATAAAATTGCACACCAAACATTTTTCTCAAAATTCTGATTCCAAAGTGTGAAATTTCGGTGAAACTGTGAGGCATTTTATGAATTGTTGCACAAAGTTTGAAATTTAGCTTTACATGGTTTTCGCTAGACGGTAATCTGGGCTTTTATAAAAATTTAATAAGCTTTAAAGAAACAAAAGAAAAATATTCAAATATACCGAAGATATTTTGGGCTTTGCTCTTTTGCCGTCACGTTCTTCTTCACTTTCGGAAGAACACAAAAAGAAAGCTATTACATATAATGAAACAAGTGCAATATAAACATATCTATAAAAAACACGTTACCCTTTACATTATGAGTTAGATATTTGTCCTTATTTACACTATCCGTACGAGTATTACTTATAAAATATTTCACACAAACGCGTTTGAAACGCGATATCTAGTATTATGGTGCATAAAAATCATACATAGATATGGCAGTTCCTCGATAGTATCAAACTTCAAATATGGCCGATAGTGGTCGCCATCGAAAGTTGCGATAGTGATGTCCCAGATGTCCCATCGATACTATCGATAGTGCCATCGATAGTTTGCCACCACTACCACATAGACCTTTTTGGTACAATTTGGAAATGCAGCGCTGAGTATATTTCGATCCTTGGTTAAAAACTTCTAGTTATTTATATAAATACTTTCTTCTTTCTCTACTTCATACAAACTCTCACCCCTATTCTGTAACTCTTTCGTATTCGGATTTTGCTACGAATCGTAGAAATAGTATGCTGCAATCCGAATCGTATTTTCGAACTTTCGAAATTCGTAACAATGGCTTGCCTAAAAACGAACGAGTAAGCTTTTTTGCGTAACAGGTGGTGGAGCTAACAAAGTTCATGTTTTCTATGGCTTGGAAGAAGCTGTTATTGCATTAACTGGATTGAGAACCAGAGCTTCAGGCATTCAACCAGAAGCTGACATAGATGCGCCCATGTTTACTATGCCCGACAGCTCCGCATAACTTTATAAATCCATTGCCATAGCGCCCGCTTACTCTGCTGCTATAATTGCAAATACATCAGAATCCATAATTTTCCTCAAAATATGTAAAACTAACCAATTTTACAATAAACCAGCTCATGATGAGTGTTTTTTTAATTCCTTTCCACTTTGCTTTCCTTCATTCAGCTATCTTTGAAAAACAACTGATAGCTGGCAATGCTGCACATGTTTCGGCAAAGGTTGCAGCTAGGAATTACGAATTACGAAAATTCGGGTTCTAGAATAAGGGGTTTGGATTGCATTAAAAGGTTGGCAGTTCTGATTTATTATAGAAATGGTTTTGTCTTTTTCTACCTCACACATTTTGTTACGTGCGGGTTGCCAGATGCCACACCTCCTTCCTTTCAACGCGAAGACGTTCTCACTCTGCGCCCGCATCCACCCTAATGCTCGGTTCGCTGCGGGGTACGCTTGCTTTTAGCACGAGCTAGCT